AACTCCAAAGTTTAAGGGGGCAGAGGGTGCTTTCAGCTATAGACCATTGCAACAAACAGACCTCCAGCTGCAAGAACAGTGTCCCTGACATGCATCCCTGCCAACTCCAGCTATGTTGAGACGGCGTTGTGAGGAAAGAATATGCCTTCGGCAGATGAATGCAAGTGATGTCCCTCTCTCTGAGCCCACTCAGCACGTTAATAGCTGGAGTAGGGAAAGGGCTCTGGAGCCCATCCTTCCTCTGCTCCTGCCCTGCAACCAGCCTCTCATGGGATACGTGGCAAAACCCAGGCAGAATCACATTGGCCTGACCCCTTTCATCTGCCACCCTCTCACTCATGGTTGGCGATTCATCTTTTCTTAGACACTGAATGTTGAAGGATCACAGAAGCAGAAAAATATTAGGTGTGATGTGAGACAGTAGCAGAAAACACAATCTAAACAAAAAAAGAAAGTTCCAGAGCTTCCATGAAAATCAGAAAGAATATATATGTATATATTTATGTTTCTTTTCTATGTAATGTCATGATTCATTCTGCAAGATCCAATGACTTAAGCTAGTTCCAGACCCCATAAAAACTCCATCTTGTATTGTATAAAAGTCAATTGGACCAAAGGTGATATTCAAGACTGAAAGCTGTTGTTCAATCAAAAAGGAACTTTTGTAATTTAAATTAGTCTGAATATGCTTGAAAAAGCATATATTTTAAAAAGACTGGGCTTAGATTCTTTTCTTAAAGTCACACAAAACTTCAGCTGGTTTAGTTTAAGAAATGCAGATTTTTTTTTTCTAAGGCTAATTTTCATGGAGGCAATCTTCTACAGCCCTTATCCCTCCTCCAAATAAGCTTTTACATATCTTCGAAATGGTTATCTTCAGCTGTGTTTTCTGAAGTCTTTACACATTTTCTTTTCCTTATGAAGAGGTACAGAAGTTTCAAAGCAATGCATTTCTTGAACTTAAATTGATGGAAGGTTTTATATTTCATGTGAAATCTTAATAAATGGTGAAGTTCTTTTATTTTCTACAATAAAAGCATTTTCTGCTGCTTTCTTGAGGCTGTATGCATACTACCAATGCTCTAGTCATAAACTTTTTCATCTGTATCAACTTGGAAAAAAACTTTGCATTCTACTTGAGCTGTAATTTATCAGAAAAATTTTTTATCTCCTTTTTATCTGCCTTTCCTCAAATTGATTCTAGTGTGTTGAATAGATTTATAATGACTGTAATGAGTCCATAGACTAAGACCAGACTTCATGTTTGCAGAAATGTCAAACCAATCCAGAGACATATCACATGCTGGTGTCCTTACATCTGTCCTGTTGCTGGCCCCTTAAAACACAAGTAATCCTTCCCTTCATATTAAGCAAAGCAAGGTATCAACAGGCTGCAAGCAGTTTCTTTATTAAACTTCACCCACAAAATCGAACAAGCCCCCCAAAGCCTTCTTTCTTTCTGGCCTCCTCAAAGATCACTGTGGTGGTTGCAAGTGTGCATTGCATTTAGACATTTCTATTGGCTCAGGTAGTAGCAGAGCTAATTCACTCTATTACAGACATAAAAATGAAAATAAAATAAAATAAAATAAAATAAAATAAAATAAAATAAAATAAAATAAAATAAAATAAAATAATAAAATAAAGATAGATTAATTCTATACTGTTTCCTGAGCCCTTGTTCATTTCTGTAACCCTACACCAAACACCTGAATGGTTTGCCCATTTATGATAGCAAACCCACCTTTACCTGGTGAACAGATCTTTTTCCTGCCAGAAGTGGTTTTGTGCTGTTGACCCACTGTAGCTATGCATGAAATTCTGAATTGCAGAAATATTCTGCCTTCTGAGGGATTATAGAAAGAAACACTGTAAAACCATTAGCTTCTGCTGAGCTGCTCTCCTCTATTGTCAAACAGCCTTGGGCAGCCAAGATTCATTCTGTTCCCCCAGGAACCACTATTATGCCGGCATAAATTCATTTGACTTCAGTGAAGTTTCTCTTCACTTACACAGCACAGAGAGATCAGACTAGACCAATTGTCTTTAGCAATGTTTTAATTCATCACTGGATAGATAGCATATCCAAGATTTAATTTAATAAAATCAGCATATCTAGAACAAACCAGATGGACTAAGGTTTTTTGACAAAATGGATAGGTTATTTTCAAGGACACTGATTCATGGTCTTCCAATGAAAAATAGCATTTAACAGATTAATCGTTTTTGAATAAGCAGCAGAGAAGCTGGGAAAGGTTGATTTACCTAATGTTATTTTTATAATTCTAAAAGCCTTTTGCTGGGTATCAGAATACATTAGGCATAAAGCAAACCTTTTGTTTATTGTTTTTTAGAACCACAGAAGCGTGGAGGCTGGAAGGGAGGCTGTCTTCTCCAAGCCCCTGCTCTAAGCAAGATCAAGGCTGCTCAGGCTCTGTCCAGTCTGTCTTGGATGTCTCCAAGGATGGAGACCACAACTTCTGGACACTTGTTTCTGTTCTTGACCACCCTCATGATGAACTCTTTTTTCTTGTATGCAGTTGGCATTTCCCTTTCTTAAGCTTGTGACTGTTGCCTTTTTTTTTCTTTCACTGTGCAGTGAGAGCAGTTTGACTTCAACTTCTCAATGATTTCCCATTAGTCAGATGAAGGCAGCAGTAAAATCTCTATTTAGTCTTCACTTTTAAGGAAAGCTAAACCCAAATCTCAGTGTCTCCTTATCCATCATGTGCCTCAGGCCCCTTATAGATATGTGGCCATCCATAAGGACTGTCACCAGTATGTCAATGTCTTCTGGACAGCACCAAACTGCATACTTACTTCATAAAATTTTCTCTCCTTTCCTTCCTGGTCCCTGCCCACATTTCCCAAAAATTGTGGATTCAGAAGAAAGTGCTGGACTATAAAATTCTTCCAGCCACTAGCTACAGGCAGCCATTCCTTTGCTAGAACCGAGATGATGCTTCTGAAACTTCAGGAACTCTGAGTTTAGATATTCTTTATGTAACTAAATTCATCAGAGGTGAAAGATGGTGCCAGTGGGTGAAGCCAACCATTTCTGAAAGATCTAGATGGGCATTTATTGCCTTTGTTATCCATTGAAGACCTCAGAAAGGGAGATGAAGGCTCACTTAGTTTCCATTATGAGCTTTGACTATGTTCCCAACTTGTGCAGATTAAAATGAAATGGTACCACTTCAACAGCAGTGTCAATTTTGGTCAAAAGATGGGTCGCGAGAGGTGAGTGAAGTACTCCTCCATTTTGTTACAAGAGCAAAATCAGGAGAATTAGCAGCTCTTCTCCCTCCTTGTGAGACTCAGGGAGGATGTCCCCAGTCCATGAGTCCAGAGGGCATTTTTTTCTCCTGCTGCTCACTGGCACATCATTTTTCTAGTGTGCTTGGCCAGGCTTTCAGGGACTAGGATTTGTCTTACTCATGGGGTTCTTCTTTTAGGGGTCCTTGGGCGTTACACAGGTCTCTGATGCTGTGTGAGCTGGCATGGCTACTCTGGTGGTGGGAATGCAAGACAGAGCAGACTAGAAGAGCGGCTGGGATGCTGTGGGCACCCCAGCTATAGTCCATGTTACATCACTTTGGCTTTGGCTGATGAGCCTGGCTGTGAGCAGGGGCACCTCTGACAATTAGGTTTAGGAAGGCAAAATGAGGTCTTCCTGCAGCACAGAGCTTCATGAGCCAGGTGATGCATGGATAGTATTCTGCTCCCTGCCTGCTATTAATATTCATGCTGCTTTTCAAATCTAATATTGATTAGACCTTCACATGTAAACAAACAAATGAGATTGCATCCTTACAGTAAAAGCTTGATGTTCTTGAGAAAGGAAAGCCATTACATCTGTCTTCTGTTTTTCTCTGTTTGAATATGATCTCTGAGCACTGGCAACATTATCTGAATCTAATATTCAAGCAATTGTAGCAGTTGTGATAATCTAGCAGTTCCATCTATCTCAAAGACAGGCACTTCAAAGGGCTCCATTTGGTGGCCTGACAAAGCCATGTCTATGCAGAATAAGAAGCATATAGATATGAAATGTTGCATTAAAATATCTCTGTCCTTTTCTCCATTAAGGCAATTTCAGTCCTTGTGCATCAAAGTTGCATAAGTGAGCAAAGGTCAGGGCCCTAGATGAACAGAAATTATTTTTACCATAAATAACACTGCACATCTCAGGGAACTAGAGCATTTGCACAGGTATTTTTCATCTCTCACCATTTTGTCTTTTCTTTCCAGCAAAGTCCCAAATTCTGCTGGCATTGCTTGGCATCACTGTGTTTCTGCCATGAGAAACAAAGAAAAGCCAGTGCAAAATGATGGCAGCAATATTCACAACAGGAAATAAGTAAAGAATATGTTCTGCTTTTCTCAATATTAGTTCAGCCGCAGCAGGTGTGTTTTAGTCCTGTGGTCCTGATTCTCCTTCTTTACCTCTCTCTTATGTGGGCAGCTCTATTCATTTTGTGAACTAAAATCTTGAAATCCATTTGCTCAAATCTAGAGTAGGGGCAGGGCAAGATACTAATAAAGTGAGAGGGTGAAATGCCTGCCATGGGGGAGTGCTGCATTTTGTGTCAGCTTGATGAAAAGCAAACTCCTCCTCTAAAACATTTAATAATTATTAAAATATATTTTAATTACTTACAAAAGGGCTTTAAAGAGCTTTTGTGAAACAAAAACTGACAGAGAAGTGTCAGTTTTTAGAAGCACTTATTACTCTTAGAAACCCACACACTGCATAACTGCTTTCAACACATATATATATCTAAATTAATAGAGCTTTGAAAATTAGAACCTTTCCCACTCTAGGATTCTCACTATAAGAATTTCCAGAATTTTACCCACAAGACACTCAGACATTACGGAGACAGTACTGCAAAAAGACTCGAGCAGAAGGACAAGGTGACAGTTTTGCTCCACTGTGCATCAATGGCTCGAGTTCTTGCCCAAGCGTCGTCTCTGGGGCGGAGCATCAAGGTAGATCCCATGCCCAGTGGAGCTCTATGTCAAGAGAGATGCAGGCTGCAAATTGGGAAGCACGGCTGGATTTTCCACAAAATGCAGTCTACACCACCACGAGCAGTATGCAGCAGAGATGGAGGCAACAGTTTTCAGAAAAAGTGTTGTGCTCAGGTAACTTAAAATTTGTCATGATGTGTCCAAATGAGTCCAGCTTTAAGTTACATCAGCATCCTTAGCTGTCAGTCTCTAATTTCTGTGTGCTTTGCTGTACAACTGGAGCAGTATAGTTCTGTTGGGATAGATTTTATGGAATTGACCTTAATACTTGATCCAAAGCCTCTCCTAACTGATGTTTCAGAAAGCAAAGCAGAAAGCCTGGCCCAAAGTGCCTTGAAGAAGCAAGTTCCTCCTACATGAGAATTAGCAAAAAGGTAAGGCTAAATAGCCATGCACATTTGGGTTTTGAAAGAAAATTAAAATGAATATAGGAAAGAGATCACAGACAATCCTTTCTGACAAAGCAGCACTCTTTTTTGGTTTGTTTTGTGCAAGCAACCTATTCATCAAAAATGGAAATTCAGATAGGTTAAATTTCAAATTCAGCTGGTATTTCTCACATTGTTTCATCCAGAAAGAAAGAACTGAAAGAAAATTAAGAAAAGGTAGGAGAAGACAAAGCATTTTGTATTCTGTTTTAAAACAATTAAGTTGTTTACTTTTTGCTTAAGGAAGCAATCACTGGAGAAGAAAAAGCTTTTCTGGATGGTGTCCCAGATGGGGTTCTTGCAAGTTGCACTCTCCCTTTGCAACCTTCCTGTTGTTTTAGACCTCTTCAATGAACACAAAAATATATCTTTCATAAAAGAAGACACCATTTCTATGCCGGTAACATGCTTTGTCATGGACTGCATAATGTTACCCTTGAGCTAATACTAAAATAAGTCCAGATTATTAGGTCAAAACCACATATTCTTTTTACTGTACAGGGTAATGATTTCACTAGGGCCGTGGAAGCCTTTCACAGGGAGCCCTCTGCAGTGGAACATGAAGTCTTCCTTTTGCCACCTTTTGGAACAAATCTAAGTTGTACTGTATGATAAAACACTGGTTTTGCCGGGGCTTTTGTTTCAGGATGCCGGTACTCACAAAGGGACAGACAGTAATGTTGGAAGTGAGAGTGGAGTTTTGGAAATATATTTTCTTCACAAGTCAGTAAAACTTTCTATTTCAGAACTATTTGAGTTTTAAATGTATTCCTAAATTCATATCAAATTGTACATTAAAATATGAGCAGCAGCACTATAAAAGCCAGAGCATTTATTTCATAATTTTGAAATAAAGCTATTTGATTTATTTTTTTTATTCCTAAATTATCTAAATTTATTTTTAATATTCCACCTCAAAATTGAAAAATATCATTCAGTTGGAGATTGAACAAACTGTTTCTTCAACCTGGACAAGTATTGTAGAGACAGGGAGGAGACTGCCTTTTACAAGACATAAAAATAAATTATTCATGCAGCTTAAATACAATGTATCTATTATTTAGTATTACCCTGTTGTTTCAGTTTCATATTAGGCAGGCAGAAAGAATGGAGAAAAAAAGAGTGCAATTCTGTGAAGCATAATACAGGTTCATCACATTTTATATCATAATAAATGATATTTGTCTAATAAAGTGGTGTGCCACAGATCTGTAAAGTAGAGTACAAGTAATTAGAAGCGCTCCATGTTAAAACAGGAGAGTTCTGCCTTGTAATCACGGGGAAGGAGCACTTTAGAATCTATGAACCTGGGAGCTGCTCTCACTGATATTCCCGCTGTCAGTCCAAGGCAATTCTTTTGACAGGTGCCATCGATTTTTCTAAAATGCCAGCAGGCTGACTCCTGACTTCCTTGGCTCTGTTCTTCCATAAAATGTAAGCCACAGTTCTAAGAAAAAAAGTAGAAGGCATCCCAAAACAGAGGAATTCAATGCGCTTGGAGGGACTTTTCCTATAGGGAAGATTCCCCAAAGTCTGCTGAAGAGAGGGTGGTTGTGGGGAAAAACTCAAGAAGATGAAAGCATAAACTGTTTATATTCTGATTTCTATAGAGAGTCAAAAGAAAGAGAAATTTTAAGTAATGTTCTGCTGAGATTTGCTCTCCTCTGACTTATAGATTGGAGAAAACAACCTGTATCCTTAGTAGAGCTAGGTTCCCAGTGGAAATGTATACCAATAGAAGAGGAACTGCTTGTCGAATTCCCTGCCAATCTCTGTCTTTAATCTGCAGATGTTTTATTATCTCTCTTGCTTCTCTTTCCACAGTTGCATTCAATTTTCTGCAAGTGCTTTCATGCCAGGAAGAAAGAACATTCAGAACAGAAATGCCTCGTTACATATTTTATGAGGGTCCTTAACCACATGCATGGAAAATGTTTATTTTATAAGTGCAGAATTGTCCCCTGGGGATGTTTTGCTTCACGAATGAGCCTAATGAGCATTAGAGGAGCAGTTTTGCTCAGGAAAGTGGTACGTTTTTTCTTCCTTAATTTTTTAATTACAGCCCCCGACCTGAAGGACTAGCACGAAACTATAAACAGATCACAAACGACAAGTAACATGTCTTTTTCATCAGTCTCATTGAGAGGGGTTACACTGGTGCGTATCCCCCCCCGCTGCATGGGCGTGATGCAAGGTGAGCTCCTGCCCTGCTGAGTGTCAGCACAGACCTTGTCGCTGTCCCCTGGGAGTCCCTGTCCCCTCTGTTTTCTCCCAGGAACCTGCTTGGGCTCACGGGCATCTCCCTGACATGAGCCCCACTTAGTCCCCACACTGGAATGCGGCATGTGTAAATGGATGGATGTTGCCTCCCCGAGGAAGGAGGCACCATGTGCACCGTGCACCTCCCGGTTTTCTCACCAGACAACATTTAGAGTCAGTTGTAAATACAGTTTTGTAGACATAAGAAAAGATAAAACAGCAAAATGTGTTCTTATGGTTATACTTTACAAGGGAAACTCATCTCAGCTAGCTGTGTCCACAGGCAAATGTGGTGACCTGTCCTCCCCTAGCCTGGGATGGAAAGAAACCTTCCTTTCCCTCCTTTTTTATTTGCCTTCCTTTTGTTCCCTCTGACGGAACACAGGAACAATATCTTATTTTACCATAGTGGATTATATATTTTCCTGTTGTCCTCTTCCTTAAGGTTACTTGATTAACATGCCTATAGTGTACTATAAATACATTTCTCCTGGTGATGAAAAAAACTGGTCAGAACTCAAAGCGCAACTGAATTTTAATCCTCAGATGTGGTGATATTTTCATCCCATGTGTACCATTAGGGCAACCCTCTTTTTCTGCACCATCCCCAAATCTGCAGGTGCCAGCGTTGGCAGGTTGGCTCCTTTGGCCAGGTACCACTGCCCTTTTCAAATAGAAGCAGAGACTGCAGAGCAAGTGTCATGCTTTCATCACCATTCTTCTGCAAAAAACGACAAAGGCTTTCTTTTGCTGCTCCCAATTATGCTGTGAGTGTGTCAGCAACGGCCATGTCATATATATATATATATGGTATATTTATATATATATCTATATCTATGGGTATATCTATTTCATTATTGATATTCATTTTAAACCACAAGGATTGTCAGGCAGTTTTGATCTCTTTACCGATCTATGTTTTTTAATGAAAATGGGTATTTTAAACCACCTACAAAAATAGCTGATATTACCAAACAGTCAAGGCGAAAATGAAACAGAATGATTTTTTATTGGAAACTGTTCTGTGCTTTTCTGTTAAATTTATTGTACTAGAAATGTACCAAGTGAACCTGATATATAAAAACATGGAGGCCAGAGAAACCTCTGGTCACGTACATATGTAAATATTTCTGTGGATCTTTTTTCTGAATGTATACACACAGGGCTAGGATCATCTGCAGCTGTAGCTGATGTTCTTGTGTAATTCCTTATGCTAGGGATGTGGAACTGCTGAGACAGAATTGAAGAGAGTAAGTATGCTCAGATGGGGACTGGAGGCCTGGCTTTCAAAAAGATTGAAGCTCTTCTGTCAGTAAAAGCATGGTAGCAGTAAGAGTCCATGCCAGAAAGCAAGTATGCTTGCCCGGCACAAACAGTCATTACTGAGGGAACACCGGATTTCTGCAGTATACATCCATAAAAAAGGCATTTTGAAAATGGAAGCATGGATCAAATATAACTGCGATTTTGCTGGTGCCTTGAGAGTCCTTTATACTGTGCATTTCTGAAAAGACCCCAGTTTATCCTAGTAGGAGAGTGCGTTTCCCTGTGCTGACTTTGCTCAGTGCTGTTTGCAGAATGGATGTCTTTTTGTTTGCACTCACAGAGTATACAGAACACAGAGAATGGTTTAAATTGTACCAGCTGTTTGCAACACCACAACGTGTCTGTTGCTTACTTTAGCAGAAAAAACCCCCAGCCCTCAGTGGTTCAAAGTGTTCCTATTTTCTCTTCTACTTCTGTCCCATTCTCTTTCATGATAAAAGCATATTAAGTTAGATGTCAGAACTCAAAAAAAAAAAGGTCTGGTTTCTGCAACAAAAATCTTAGTTTTGCAAGCTAAATAAGCTTTGCTTAAGACTATGGAAGGGTGGTTGCTGGGTCACTGAATCTGCATACACATTTCCTTTTCAGAAAGGCAGTTTATGGTGTGTCCTTACCATTTTTGTAGTACTTTTCTTCTTAATTAGTATAAAGTGGGAAAGCATGTTTTCCCTGAGAAAAAAGGAAGATAGTTTCCACAACATGCTCCTTTGCTCAGAAGCAGTTGCTTATAACAGCTCGATCACTTTTTGCTGGGCTGTTCTCTGGCATGTAGGTCCTGCTGCGCCCCAATATGCAGGAAGAAGACAACTCTTAAATATCAAAGACATTATATTTGAAATAATATAGGCTATTCCGCATTAAGAAAGAAGAGCAGATGGTTTTTTAAGAACATTTTTTCCCCTCATCTCAGCTGTAATTTCTGTATTTTTTTTCTTATAGATGAAAATCCTCATAAAAAGGGTCAGGTATTAACAGTTCTATGTCTTAAGTGCCTGTTATCTTTCTTATACTTAAGCGATGTCAGGAACTTTCATTATTTCTAAGACCTCCCCTGCTGTGAAGCAGTTAATTTTGACATTGTCAAAGAGGTGACAACTCCTTTGAACAATGAAAGACTTTTGATTCAGTGAAGCGATGGATTACTTCGCTACATAGCACCAAAGTGTGAATCTCAGGGTGAGACACATTTAACGCAGCAGGAGGTCTTGATGGGTTATTGGTTGGAAAAACTGTTTGCATTGTCTAGAGAAGAAAGGGTTTTGGGAAAGAAAAGTGAGGAACATTAGACAGCCAGGATTGCTTGTTACCTTCTGACACCCCTTGGGTCTGTTCCTCTGAGATCTTGAGGGAGGTTAGTGAGATATCGTATATACATTTTTATGCCATCTGTAAATTTCTTCTTACAGTGCTAAAATCACAGTCAGATTTTACAAGCCTGGTTTCCTCAGCATTTCTTTTAATTTTTAACTTACCTCCATCATCTTGTGACTTAAAAGTGTGGCAAATGCACACTCGGTCTGTAAATCTGTTATTTATAGTGTGTTTTGAGAAGACCTATTGTGAAAATACCTTTTGAGGTCTAAAAGATTGAAACAAGCTTGGTTCTTTCCAGTTAGTGAGAAAAGTAGGTTTTTATGTGGTTACAGCATTTTTGTTTTTCAGAGGTTAGAATCAACAGCACATTTGATCGTGGAAAGCTGTCAGCCTTTTCCAGTGTAAAAGCAACTGCAGTCTCAGGAAAGGTTTGCAAGCAGCTCACATCTGTCATGTGCTAGGGTGATCCCAAAGGCATCTTGAAGGCAAATCCTAAGGATCACTGTAGATACGACAGCCCCACAATTACAAGGGGTACATGCCTAACAGCTTTGTCACTCAATGTGCTTCCAAAGTTGCCTGAGCTTCATACAAATTCAGTATTCACTCAATTATGTTTCACTGAAAAATATTTGTATCAATAAGAAAAGGAATAACAAAACCTGAAACTTCTGTTACTAGGTGTGTGCTAATTCAGTGTTTTCACTGAAACAAAGGACATTCAGAATAGTATTTGTACCTGCACATCTCAAAGGACCTTGGCAACCATGAAGCCTTCTGTTGTTCTGCAGACATCCCTTTGGAAAAGAGCTCCAGAGCAAAAGTTGAAAGTCAGAGTTATGAACAGTGAGTCTTCTTTTGACTTTGGTATGAATTTCATCCTATCACCAGACGGTGGTATACTTTCCAGACAGGGAAGAGGTGGCTGGGGAAACTTAGAGAAAAAACAGTGAAGAACTTTATGAATGAACACCTTCTGTCTCTGTTTCTTAACATGGGCTGGGACTTACAATAGAAAATAAGGAAAATAAAACTCTATTGGGACTCTATTTTACCTTCATCAAGTCATCCACACCCTTTTATGACAAAGTAACCTGATTGATGTGGGGCAAGTGTTGGACAGTGTTTACCTGGATTTCTCCAAGGCTTTCGATACAGTTCCCCACAGCCTCCTCCTAGAGAAACCGATACGTTATGGTCTAGACAAGTGGTTTGTGTTCTGGGTGGGGAGCTGGCTGACAGGCTGCACCGAGAGGGTTGTGGTAAATATCTCCTTTTCAAACTGGCAACCTGTCTCAAGTGGGGTCCCCCAAGGATTGATCTTGGACCTAACAATGTTTAATATCTTCATAAGTGATATGTATGATGGGATCAAGGTAACCTGATGAAGTTTGCTGATGAAACAAAACTGAGTGGGGAAGTGGACATTTTGGTAGGGAGAGCCACTCTGAAGGAAGACCTGGATAGGCTGGAAGAGTGGGATAACAAGAACCTTACGAAGTTCAACAAGGACAAGCATAAGGTCTTGCATCTGGGAAAACATAATCCAGGAATGCAGGGCAGCCTGGGATCTACCTGTCTGGAGAACAGCTCTGTGAAAAGGGCCTGGGTATTGCAGTGTACAGCCAGCATAGTATGAGTGAACAGTGTGCTGCAGTGTCAAAGAAAGCTGACAAGATGCTGGACTGCATCAACAGGGACATCATCAGCAGAGATAAAGTCATTATCCCACTCTACTCAGCATTTGTCAGGCCATGCCTGGAGTACTATCATAGAATCACAGAATCATTCAGGTTGGAAAAAGCTCTTGGGATCATCGAGTCCGACCATCAGCCCTACTCTAAAAAGTTCTCCCCTATACCATATCCCCCAACATCTCATCTAAATGACCCTTAAACACATCCAGGGATGTGACTCCACCCCCTCCCCGGGCAGCCTATTCCACTGTCTGACCACTCTTTCTGGGAAAATTTTTTTCCTAATGTCCAGTCTAAACCTCCCCTGTTGGAGTTTAAAGCCGTTCCCCCTTGTTCTGTCACGAATCACCTGTGAGAAGAGACCAGCACCAACCTCTCTACAATGTCCCTTCAGGGAGCTGTAGAAAGTGATGAGGTCTCCCCTCAGCCTTCTCCTCCTCAGACTGAACAGTCCCAGCCCCTTCAACCTCTCCTCACAGGATCTGTTCTCCAGGCCCTTCACCAGCTTCATTGCCCTCCTCTGCACTCGCTCCAGCACCTCGATATCTCTCCTGTATTGAGGTGCCCAAAACTGGACACAACACTCCAGGTGTGGCCTCACCAGTGCAGAGCACAGGGGGACCATCACCTCCCTACTTCTGCTGGTCACACTATTTCTAGTACAAGCCAGGATGCCGTTGGCTTTCTTGGCCACCCGGGCACACTGCTGGCTCGTGTTCAGCTGCTTGTCAATTAGAGCCCCCAGATCCTTTTCTTCCAGACAGCTCTCCAGCCACACCTCCCCAAGCCTGTAGCCATGCAGGGGGTTGTTGTGGCCCAAGGGCAGGACCTGGCACTTGGCCTTGTTGAAACTCATCCTGTAACATTGGCCCACCGATCCAATCTATCCAAGTCTCTCTGTAGAGCCTCCCTATCTTCATGAAGATCGACACTCCTTAAATTTGTGTCATCTGCAATTTACTAATGATACACTCTATGTCCTTATCAAGATCATCAATAAAGATGTAGAACAGAAATAGTCCCAACACCAAGCCCTGAGGAACACCACTTGTGACTGTCTGCCAGCTGGATTTAGCTCCATTGACCACCACCCTCTGGGACCATTCATCCATCCAGCAGACCATACGCTCATCCAGGCCATGGGCAGCCAGTTTTTCTATGAGAATCCTATGGGGAATTGTGTCGAATGCTTTTCGAAAATCCAGGTAGACAATATCCACTGCTTTTCCCTTGTCCAATAGTCGGGTCATCTTGTCATAGAAGGACATCAGGTTTGTCAGGCAGGACCTGCCTTTCATAAACCCATGCTGACTGGGCCTGATCCCTGGTTGTCCATGATATGACTTTTAATGGCACCCGAGATGACCTGCTCCATGACCTTCCCTGGCACTGAGGTCAGACTGACAGGTCTATAGTTTCCTGGATGATCCTTTCTGCCTTTCTTGTAGATGGGTGTCACATTTTCCACACTCCAGTCCAATGGGACCTCCCCAGTTAGCCATGATTTCAGGTAAATCATGGAAAGCGGCTTGACGAGCACATATCCCAATTCTTTCAGTACCCTTGGGTGTAGTTCGTCCAGTCCCACAGACTTGTGTGCATCCAAGTGGTGCAGCAGGTCTCTGACCACTTCCTCTTCAACTGTACTGACCTCATTCTGCTTCCCCTCCCCATCTCCCAGCTCAAGAGTCTGGGTGTCCAGGGAACAGCCAGTTCCACTGCTAAAGACTGAGGCAAAGTAGGTGTTGAGCACCTCAGCCTTTTCCTCATCCTTAGTTACCATGTTTCCTTCTGCATCCAATAAAGGAGGGAGATTTTCCC